GGTACTCTTGTCAACAGTCTCACAGTAATTACAGTGTAAGCTTTATAGCATACATAAATGTGAAAATATATTTAAAAATTACTGCAAAATACTTAAAAGATGGTATGCCTTGTATTTGAATTCAGCATTTTAAAAACCTGCTATTAAACAATGGAAACAGTTTGGCTCTCAGTGTGCTAATAATATGATCAGCAAATACATGGACATGAAGTTTAGTGGCTAACACATTCTGCTTCTTCACCCAGAAAAGCCTATGTTCTTTCTCTACAGGACCTGAAGCACATTTAAAATATTTGCATTTGCTTATTTTTAAGTGAAATGGCAATTAAACCTTGAAAAACCTAATCAAATTTGGATCTGTTTTATACATGAACGAGAGACTATCAGGGCTTATAATAGGCTGTAAGAATAATCTTGAGACAGGAGGAAGAGCTACAACTTGGACAACAGTACTTTAGTAGGTTTGCTTTTGGTTTCCTGGCCTGGCCTACTTTGAAGGGCCATTGATCAGGGTAAGCTTTGGCAAGTCATTCTATCTTGCTGCCAGGGGGAATAAAAAACACCTCTACATGGGTATGTCCCAGAAATCACCAGGAGCTGAAGAAGACTTTAGCTATCATTTTTGCATAGTTCAACATTTCAGCTAGCCTAGACTATGATAAGTATGGGACTGAATTCTCTTTGTATCTGACCAGTTTGATTGCTCTGAACATTTATTCAGAACCCAATGGTGCATTGGGAAAACCACTGCCATCTAACCACAAGGCATCTGTCTTTAGACGTGGAATAAGAATGGTAGCAGGGAGAGAGATTTCTGCCATACCTTCTCCAGTTCTGGTCTCTCTCTATTGATGGGGAAGACAACATTGAGATCCACCACTAAACATTTGGTTAATCCCTGAAATCTGAAGAAGGCAAAAGATCTATATTCTGCCCCATATTTTTATGTTTTTGACATTGACCCCTTCACTAAATAATGTTTTTTCATAATTTCATGCATGAGTGAAGCTCAACAGACGGATATTAAGGACAAGCTGAATAATAAATATTATTAAATTTTCTCTTTCTGACTTCTAAACAACAGATGCTAGATTAAGAATTCTGGATTTACTGTAAGCAAGGAAGAAATACATAGATATATAATTTGGGGTCTTTGGTGACCCGTTTTTTCATGTGATTTCCAACTTTCCATTTCATTTCAAAATCGGCTCATGTATAAATAAAACAGTACTTGATACTGGTATTTAGCACTGTTTGCATTAACATTTGATAGGCCAAATTTTACTTTGCCCATCATAATTGGTGTCATTTTGCTAAATAATTGGATGAAAGCTTATTCCACACATAGTAGAGGGTATTTTAAAGACCAGAGATCTGTTTATCCCTGGATTACTTAATTTTTTTTTAAATAAAAGGCCATGAGGCAGTTATACATGTCAATAGATATTGAATAAAAGCAAAGGGAAAGTCAGTTTTGAGTGCTTATTCTTTATTTCAAAGTTTTAACGTCCATGCAATGCTTCTTTGCCTTTAGGCATTTTTTTTCCTCCTAGTATAAGAAATCATGGTCTTGAGAGTGAGAAAAGAGGGCCTTTGATTGGAACAGCCAATCTCAGTGAGCTTGAATATCAGGGCAGAAACTTTGAATTGTTCTGAATGTCCTGAGGGAAGAAAAAGATTATTTTTAAAGAGTAATCCTCACACCAGCCTGTTGAACTGAACAGCTGGGATGCTGTAGTCTGGACTTCACTTGTGTTAAGACTGCTTTTCCTTCATTCCTAGCACTACAGTATAGTATTAAACTACCCATTTTTCATCTCCATTTATGAGACAGCCACTTAAGCACTTGACTTTGCTCTTTTGGGGTCAGCTGTGAGTCTTAAACTTGAGATCAGAGGTATCCACATTGACAACTTTAAGACTTATGGACTCCAACTCCCAGAATTCCTCAGGAAGGATGGGGAATTCTGGAAGTTGAAGTTCACAAGCTTAAAGTTGCCAAAGTTGGGACACCCCTGCTCTTGATGATGCTATGCACATATATTTTTTGCTTTCATACATTTTTTAAAAGAATAAATGTCTGTTTCAATCCGCCTGCCTTATTCCTTATTTATGCCACTGTAGGTACTTTTATGAGGCTGACTGAGGTAGCAGACTTGAGGAGTACGCTTGCTTATTGCGTGTTTCAACAAAACATTTCACTGTTGTAAAGGTGCCATTTCCATCAAAATCTCTGAGACCATCTTTGTTTTTAAAATATTACAAGGCTCATGTCAAGCAAAGAGCTTCATACAGACAAGATGTAAAAGGCCAGCTTCTGAGAAGTGGAGAGCGTGGCTGCTAGGTTTCTTTTAGCTGACTATTTATGCAGTTTTTGCAGAATTGAACCTAATATAATAATTCCTTCCCCCAGAAGGAATTCCTCCAGTGTGGAATTTTCTTTGCACAAGTACATACAAAAAAAATTCCTATTCTTTTATCCTTTAACATCTTTTTAACCAAGTAATCACATGAGGAGATCCACTTTGGTGTGGTTAAAGGCAATTTAGGACGGTAGGAAATAGGCAAGGATAAATCAGTTCTGAAATGTTGCCCAGAAAACTGTCCCATAATGATATGATGAGTCTGACTCAAAGGCACATGCATAGAGACAATTGTAAGGTAATGGACTTTCTTAGGCTTTGGTTCTCTGGAGCACATTCCTTACTCACTTGGGTTCCACCACTAATGTATAGTGTAAGACAGTATTTCTCAACTTCGGCAACTCTTTAAGATATGTAAACTTAACACATTTAAAATTCTGGGAATGAAGTCCACACATTTTAGAGCTGTCACGGTTGAGAAACACTGGGGTAGGATAAGGGTGAAAGTGTTAGATTAGGAGGTATATATCCAGGGTTTTGAAAGAAGTTACTGTTTTGGTTTCAAAGGACACATAGTGCATATGAGCATCAATCATTCTCAAAATATGGAATTGTAGCTTTCTTTTTGCACCTACAATAATCCAATAAATATTCCCCCCCCCTTTCCATGTCAATGTTCTTCCAGGTAGAAGCACAGTTGTTACTTCTGGGATACACCTGTCAATCCAGCAGTTGTTGCTGGATTTTAGGTATTCAAGGATTTTGGACTGCACGAGTGATACCCACTTGTTTGGATGCAGGCTGAAAAGCAGACTGTACTTTACAGGATGCCAACCTAATGCCCTTCCCATGGTTCAAACTACAGCCCCGTATGGCCTTTTTGCTGTTTTTACACATTTGAAGTTTTTTTTTTACTCCAATTCCAATATAAATAATAGTCTTCCAAATCTAGGATGAAGATGTGCTACTGTTTTAAAATTCAGGTAATTCTCACTTAAAATCCACAACTGAGCCCGGGATTTCCATCATTATGGTTATCAGGGCACCACATGATCCAAGTCAATTTTACAATGGCCATAAAGTGAGTCACCATAAGGAAATTATCACTGATACAAAGTGTTATTTGGCGTGCTAAAACCTTGCCTTGTTTATTGCCTTGTGGGATAATTGCTGGGTCTTTTTTTGCTAGGTTGGGTTTAAGGCAGGTGTCTGGCTCCAGCCCCCCGGGTGCTTGGATCTGGCCCACAGAGTCCCCCTGGAAACAGCAAAGGACCGGCCAGCAGTGCCCTTGCCAGCAAAAATGGAGCAGCCTTCTCAAGCTCCATTTTCGCTGGCAGAGGGTTGCAGGAGGCTGTCGGAGCTGAAAATGGAGCTTGGGAGCCTGTTTTAGCTGGCAATGTGCTTGGGTCACCACAGGTAACCCTGACATGAGTGACGTCGAGCCAGCCATGCCTACCCCGCCCCCCAAGGTCAAATACAACCCTGATATGTCCCTCAATGAAATTGAGTTTGACACCCCTCGTTTAAGGGTATCTGAAGTAGCAGTGAACATGAAAAGAATACACACCAAAGAATCAAAGAATTAGAATAGAGCTGGAAGGGACCTTGGGGGTCTTCTAATCCAGCCTTCTGCTCAAGCAGGAGACTTTATACTATTTCAGACAGTCTTTTCTTAAAACTTCCAGTGATGAAAACATCCACAACTTCTGTAGGCAAGCTGTTCCACTGGTTAATTGTTCTCACTATTAGGAAGTTTCTCCTTAATTCCAGGTTGTTTCTCTCCTTGATTATTTTCCATCCAAAGTTTGTCTTGCCTTCTGGTGCTTTGGAAAATAAGTTGACACCCTCCTCTTTGTGGCAACCTCTCAAATACTGGAATACTGCTATCACCTCACCCCTAATCCTTCTTTTCTCTGAACTAGCTATACCCAATTCCTGCAACTGTTCTTCGTATGTTTTCTTGTCTCTAGGCCTTTAATCATTTCAGATTTTTCATTCACCATTCAGATTTTTACTGATCTGGAAACAGCATCTGATAGGCCAACAAAAAGGGGTGGGGAGGATGGCGGGTCTTCAACTGCCAGTAATTCAAATATTTCTTTGCCAATAAACGGATAGGAAGGCCAGGCCTCCAAAACCTCTTGAAATATTCCTGCATTTCATGTTTCAAGGCCATGGACTGATAGAAAACTGAAATGTCTACCTCACACTCCAGCCGCCCTTCTGCAATTTTGAGGCTATATAGCTAGGCTGCCAGAAGCTGGTAATGCCACTTATCAGCATGCCTGCCCCAACCACAAGCTATAGAAGGTGAAGGGGCAGCTTGAGAATGCCTTTATTGCCTATTCTACTCATATAAATTTTCATTCATGAGACTGCCTTGTAGTGTTTAGCCTCATAAGCAAACTATTTAGAGGATTTCTTTCTTTCTCTCTCTCTCTCTTTTTTGTTTTTCCAGCATGTGTTTGTAAGCCCATATGGACCTGCTGAGGATCCAGCTGGAAGATTGGCCTTGCCTGCTGGATAGCTCCTGGCACATTCCTTCACACATTCTCTCTCTGGGAAGGCTTTGGAATAAAGCAGGATTAAAAGGGGGAAAAAAAAGATGGGAGAGGGAGGTCATTGGCAATCCTTGCATTAAACTGCTCCTGTAATTTATCTAGGATGCTGATTTTAGGGATTAAAGTGGTGTTCATTCCATCTTTGTCCAAAGTTGCCAAGGCAGAAGCTACTGTTTTTCTTTTAACATTCTTTTAAATCTTCAGTTTAGTGAGTCCAGTCACACTTTACATTAAATGTGTGATTACTTCCAGTACACACTGGGAATCCTTTTAAAATAGAACCTGTGGCAAAGAAAAAAAAATCAGGATCAAAGGCATTGACATTATATTGCAATTTAAGAATGCATGTAATCATATACAAACCCATCCTCATTCATTCCCCCCCCTCACACTTTTTTGGATATAATATAGTTCCTTTTTTGAGGTGTGAAGTGTTAAGCCACTAGATCCATGATGGCGAACCTATGGCACGCGTGCCAGAGATGACACGCAGCACCCTCTCTGATGGCATGCAAGCCGTCGCCCCAGCTCACCTCTGCCACCTCCTGTTGGCCAGATGGTCTTCGGGTCTCTGCTGTGCATGCGTGGGGGTGGGACGTGCATGCACGGGGGTGGGGCCGCATGCAGGCACTGCGTGCAGGGCAGGGGTGAAATCTACTTACCTTCCCTACCGGTTCGGAAGTGCACGTCACATGTGCGCACAGACCCTCTGCGCATGCGCAAACTCTTTTGCGCATGAGCAGATGGTAAAAAACAGGTTACTTCCTGGTTAAAAGCAGGAAGTAACGACGACCATGCGGGTGGGCGGAGCCATCACTGCTGGTTCAGCCGAATTTAGGTTTTAGGAATTTAGTTTTGCAATTAAATGGATAATATTTCAGGAAGTAACTGAATCTGCATTTTAGCGCAATGGCTCCTTTAACAATAATATATTTAAATGCATGGTTACAAAATCCTTACTATTTTTGTTTAAGGTTTTGTTTTTTGTTTTGTTTTTTTACAAAAATAGCCCTAAGTATGTGTAAAGTATGACTTAACTTTATTTGCTCAGAGTAAAACAAGACAAACGTAGCAGACAGGCTGGCAAGGTGATAAATAAAAGGATTTTAACAAATTTCAAGGACATTTTTCCTAAATTATATAGTCAGGTAACTATTTTGGAAAATTAACACTATCTCAAAAATTGAAAAACACCGTGGAGGAAAAAAAAAGATTAAAAAAACAATGGCAAGAAAAACACAATCCTTTAATATGAACATTGGCCTGATTACTACTTTAATCACGTCTCTGAGGTTTTGTCATGCAGCAGATAAAGCAAGCAAACGAATCAACTAACCTGGTTCTCAAGCCATTTTCAAGTAAAATCTGAGGCGAGTAATTCCTCTTCCTCCTAATTACTACTATCCAGATCATTTTAAAGACATAGGAAGACATTGCTAGTCACGGACAACGGTACCCAGGAACTGCAACTGTATACATGTCATTGGTTCAGATTTTCTAAATGGATAAAGTTATAAACATTATAAAAACATTGATGCATGGAATGGATGACAATCAGAACATTCTCAGGCTCTAGGAGAATGGAAAGTTAAAAGAAATAATCCAGAAGGTGGCAATGGCAAACAGTTTCTGTATCATGCTCAGCAAACTGCATGAATATGTCCACGTTAAGTCACCAGGAACTTGAAGGTGACTTTATTTTACTCTTATTATGACCAGCTGGGAATAAAACAGTTCAGTAGCATAATAGAATAGCTTCTGGCTAGGCAAGAATTCAGGAAAGCCCAAAACAGCTGGATTCTCACAGAGGCAATGTGGAGGGATGCCAGCATGATGTCAAGCAGTTACAGTAGTTACAATTCTCATACCATATCGAATTTGATTGGATTATATTCTCTTTGTATACAAAACATTTTTTAAAAAAGTTTTATACGTTGCTCTTGTATGGGATTCCTTCTTCCTATGAAAGAGATGGGAGCCCCACAGATTCTTACCTAAAGGGTAAAAATCAAGTTCATTTCTGCTTATCTGAGCAGTTTTCAAATAAGTAGGTCCTCTTTGCTACATTCCATTAAGAGTCTCCCATAAGAGAAGTGATCTGTAGGCTTTGCTGGCATGTCTGCAGAGCAAGGCGTGCAGCAGCCAATGGAGGGTGCAGGCTCACCAGCAGGGAGACCTCTGATAGGCTGCTGCTCCACCTTACTCCTTAGCCCCACCCTTTGCCCTAGGCACTTGGACAAGGCCTTGAACCTGTCAATCTGTTGCTCACCCAGTCATTTACAAGTCTCATTTAGGCCGCATGTGGTTTATGGGCCATAGTTTGCCAATTACTGATCTATGTCAACACTGGACAGCCATATTAGCAATAGCTAGAATCTCTGAATAATATTCAAATCCACTTCAGCAGATAATTTGGCCTCTCATGCTGATAGTGTTTTTGATAAGTCTTCTGCTGATAGTCAACAGAGGCGGAGGGATAAGATATTACCTATCCCCAATTTACAATGCAATCATTTTAGCTATTCCAAGAAGATTCCACACTTCTGATTAAGGTCACAGATAAAACCCCAAGTAACCACAATGGCTCTCAAAAAGGAAACAAACTTTCCATTTCCCTCCCCCCACCATCCTGTCAGAACCTATCATTCCCCCACCCCCACTAATCTCAACTGTCAATAACTGTCCTTCCATTTCCCTCACCATCCAATACAACTGATGAAGCTTCCAGGATAGGAAGCAAAACGTCCATCTTCTTCCTCAAAAAATCAGTCCAGTTGCCCCTTCAAAAATAAAAACCACTTTTGATACAACTATGATCTGGATGACTGAGAATCTTCATAGACAGATAGTCTTTTTATTTGTCCAAAGGAGTGTTTATGAACCTTGGCAAATTTAAGATGCCTGGACTTAAACTTCTGGAATTCTCCAGCCAGCAGGTTGACTAGAGAATTTTGGCAGTTGAAATCCAGACATTTTAAAGTTGCAACGACTGAAAAACGCAGCTGTAAAGAATCCAAGAACGCATGTTCCGAAAATCTCCTTTCTATAGCTTTCTGTATCTAGGTTCCAAGGATGTATGTGGGACAGGGGGGATTTTATTTATTTTTTAATCAAGATGGTAGCCATGACAAGATCAAAGACCTGCTCCTTTTTAAATATTCACCACACACAATACACACTCAAAATGGGTCAGGGCTTTCTATGGTTGCAGAAACTATCCTGACTTTTTTGACCCATATCCCCTGCACATAGCCCTGTTCATATCAGGGGAGATTTCCTGTCAGCAGCAGCTTGGGCAGTCTCCTGGGGGCATTAAAATAATAGCAAATTAATCAGCAATGCTCACTGAGGGGAAAAAAAACCTTTCCTATTTTTAAAATCACAGTACGGCACTGTGTCTCTGCAATATCGTATTGCCAAAAAGTTTTATTTTCCATCCACTAGGGATTAAGAAATTGGACCCTTCCCACTTCTTCCCTTTATGCCTAACCTGAAAGTTTTGGAAAAATAGTGGCTGAAAATTTAGGACACTGTGTAAGACTTCTTTTCCAACGTTTTAAGTCTACTTAGTCCTAGAGATGTCCAGAACTTTCTACAATATCAACAGACCATTCCATTTGAAAATGAATCTTGTTTTCTGAAATGAAGCCAACCTTATGGTTGAAACTTTTAGTACACATAAGAGACACACCAATCAACAACACGGTAAATACCAGCTTAAGTTAATTTGTAAAATTTACTAAAATATCTAAGAATTAGGATATCTCTCTATCTCCGAGATAGCCAGCTGTTTAGGACTGAATAACAAACTTGGAATATGGATGCATGTCTTCAGGACTTTTACAAAATGGTTTCTATGGGGGAAAAACCTTGCCCAGAGTGTCTTAATTGACAGGGTCAGTTACAAAACAACCAGAAAGCATATTGGTAAGCTTGTTCATAGATTTCTTTTGCGTGCACACAAAACGTAAGACTATTTTGTATGTGAGGGAGATGTAAAATGCAATACAGTACTTTTTACAATAAATAACTTTGCATGGTGAATGACAGTAATTTCTAATGTCAGCAAGCTGAATACAGACTATCTTTTTATAAAAATATTTTTTTTCTTATTTTTTACAAAACAAGAACATTGAAGAATTACATTTACAGGATTTGATTCTCTGCCACAGGGCTCTTCAAAACTCAAGAAACATTTAAAGATATTAAAGATTTCTGGGAAAGAAAAAGGGCATCTGGGTATTAATTACATTTACATCTGGCAACAATACTTTTCAGATCAGAGTGTTTCTTTTTCTCTTGGGATCAGAAAGCCCATGACAGACGAGTTAGATTAGAACAGTTCTGATCCATCACTTTCGGAGATGAAATTCCAATTCTCTGAAGTCCACTTTCTCTTTCAGAAAGAGGCTCCACTTTCTTTCTTTTGCAGGGCAATGCCCTTTGTAACCACAACAAAAAAAGTGGGAAACAGGCTTGAAGAGAAATCTTTATTTAGTCCTCCTATGTTTTGAAATGCTTGCGGCTCTGGCTTTTCATGGAGAAAAATAAAAGCAGCATTTTGATTTAAGGATTGGTTTTTTGCTTGCTTCTTTAAGGAACACTGTTCTTTGACAATTCTGATTCTGGCAGAGAACAATTGCTTGATACTCTCTCAAATCCGTGATCTAACGCCAGTCCGTGGTAGCATAAAGCTGTAACTCGCCAAACCAAACAATTTTATTATCAGACAGGCACCACGGTTTGCAAAAAGAACTTTTCACCACCACTCTTCTTTGCTGCAGAGGTGTCCAAAGCACACCCCAGTGGGCTGCCACACATGGGGGCTACAATCTATGTAATCCTAAAGAGAATACATCCCAAATGTTTCCAACCACAGGCTGTGGTTCTGCTCCAAAGGCATATTAAGCCATAATTAACTCAATATTCCACTTAAGTGGATTTACTAGAGTAAAGGATGGTTACTCTGAGTTCAATAGGTTGTGCAAATTCAGAAAAAGGTTTTAGTTTTCCTTGATCAACAGCAAAGCACCCCAAATTCTGTGAAAGTGGCCAAGAAAGGAACCAGGAATCATATACTAGATATTATTGTGTCCTGCATTTGAGTTAGCTTTTTTTTCTATTTAAAACGTTATATCCTGGAATTGGCATTGACATTTAAACTCATTTGTCATTCCAACCTTGAGATCTATTGTAATCTTTTAACTACCATAATTCTGAATATCCTTGGTCATAAATATACTAACCTGCCTTTTAAAAGCCCTCCAAACTCTTTAGCTCCCCAATAAAGGATCGCTCCAAATGAGGAGTTCCTTGGTGCTCTCTGAACTTGTTTTCTTGCACACGTTTCATTACTCAAACTAGGTAACATCCATCACTAGTACAAGCGATGTTACCTGGTTAGGATAATGAAACATAACTGCAGGAAAACAACCAAGCTCAGAATGCACCAGACCCCCCTTCATTTCAACCCTGAGCTTCAAATATTCTCCTTTACTGAGATCGCTCCGAACTTTGAAACTCCTTCTCAGAAAATTGCACGCGTGCGGGGAAAGGCGTGATTTCGGCCCATTTCAAGTACAATGAAATTGCTAAAAGGACAAGATATAAGATGCCATAGGATCGAGCCGTAAGCCAAGCAGCGAAGTAGACGATCATCACCAGGAACAAAACGCCCGGAAACTTTGCCACCGAAAGGCTGGCGACCTGCCAAAACAGACTGCTCCTTCCATCACCGTGAAGCATTCGGCGTTCCGGGGTTTAACTTGCAGCCGCCGGCGAGCAAGGTTGTGACTCGGAAAACACTAGTATTAGCAAGCCGCCAAGCGAGGCGCGCTCTTTTACACCTTCGGCGATTCCCGACGCCGTGCAATGCGAGCGGGGGCACGCGTGCGCCTCCGGCGCTTCTCTCGGCTGGCACCAAGCGCACAGGAGCTTTTGCGCTCCCAGCAGGAAACTTACCGTAAGTGTTTGAGAACCTGATCTCGGGGCGCGCTCGGCTTGGCTCCTCCAAGGGAGCCCACGTGGTACGCCGAGCTTCTCCACGCCCTCCAGCGAGGGGAGGCATTCTTCCCGCCTTCCCCACCCGACCGCTCCCCACCTTGCCGGCAGGTGGCTCTTTCCGACCGCAGCTGTTCAGCAGACCGCTTGAATTGGCGTGACGCGCGCCCTGGCCCCCAAGCAGCGCCTGCACGCGCAAATGCTTTCTTCCCCCTTCTCTTTCTCTCAAGCAAGCGTGGTAAAATGCAATCCCGCGGAGTTGCGGGCCGCTCTATCCCCTCTCGGGGACTTCGCCTCTCGCTGCTCTCCCCCTTGCAAGGAGTAGTAATTACTCTTTGAACCTTAGCGGCTCTAACTTGCGGCCTCCGAGGCCCTTTGTTCTTTTGGAAGTGTCAGGACGCCGCAGCTCCCTCTGCAGGACGAGGGTTGCCTTACACTGATTGACCGAGTTCATACTTGGAGGCAGGGCAGAACCCCGAGAGTTTGCTTGGTTTTGGCTTAGTGTGTTGCGAAATTCCAGTCCTTTGTGCCTTATAAACCTGGTTTTTTATGCTTGGTGTAGGGAATGACTGTAGCTGGTTGTAGCTAAACAAATAACGGTTACTCGGACCGTTTCTTGACACTGCATGCGGCCACTTTATCCTGTATTTCACAAATAGGAAGCAGCTTAACCCCACCTTACCCTCCTTGGAGCCATAGTGTTACTTAAGACTTAAGGCAGCAGGTTAGGGAAAAGTGCATGTCTTTCTGTGAGAGCAAAGGCTGTGCAAAATCTTGATCAGACACTTTGCAGTGCAGGCAAATGAAGCTTTGCACCTTTAAAACAGCAGCATTGAGGGGCTGCTTTAGAGGATCTCTGCACACCTGGGCATGCGCAATCATTTTTTTTTTTTGTTCTCAATCATCCAGGTCATGGTTGTCTCAAAGATGCTTATTCAAAAGGCAACTGGACTTTGGTTTTTCCTGAAGCAGTGGTGGGATTCTACCCGTTCGGACCGATTTGGTGAAGCGCACGCTCAGAGAACCAGTTGTTCAACCGGTAGGATCCCACCCCTGTCCTTAAGGGAGACGTTTCGCTACTCATTCAAGAAGCTTCTGAAGAATTATTCTTAATACAACTTAATACAGAACAGTGGTGGGTTGCCCCTGGTTTGGACCGGTTCGCAAAAATTGGTAGTAAAACCGGCGGGAGGCCCCGTCCGCCACCCTGGATGTCATCATCCGGTGGTGGTGTGACCAAGGCTTCCTGAGTCATTAAAACACACGAGTAGTCCCAAAAACCTCTTTTATTGCAACAGCTGTGAATTACTTTCATTCACAGCTGAATCGCAAATTAGTTGCAAAAAGTCCTTCGGGAGAAGTCCTTTGGGATAATCACCAACCTTTATCTCCTTTGACACTCTGCCAAAGACCTACTTGGCAAAGTCACACGGAGTCCAGAATCAAACAGAGATGCCGACTGGTAACAGAATTAACAATGTTGCTTTCCTGCAAAGGCCCTTCTCTTTTAAGCCTTATGGGAGGGGCCAATCATCTCCAGGCCTTACTCCCGAGTCGTCCCTTTTGTTTTAACTGTTCATGCCTTCTGGCACATCTGCGCATGCGCGCACTAGGAACAGGCTCCTCCTGTTCCTCTGCCACTCTGATTTCCGACTCTGGAGGCTCCAGAGTCTGTGCATCACTCCCAGATGGCCCTGGCCCCATCTCTGCTTCTGACACAGAGCCCTCATCTGGGCCTTCCCCAGACTCCAGGTCTGGCCCATGTTCCTCCCCAGTCTACTCACTGTCCGACTCTGCTGCCAGCTCTACAGGCTGCTGGCGGCCACAACAGATGGGGGGAAGGAAGGAACTCTCACTTGGGGGGACCCCAGCCAGCCTAGCAAACTCAAGAAGAGCCCCTTAGATTTGTGGAAAGATTTTGACGGCTAGGAAGGGGAAATACTGTGAAATACTAGGGAAGAGCCATTTTGAGCCTCTTCCTGTTGGCCAAATGAAGCCCCTCTCTCCTAGGAATCCAGACAATGTTCTACCACATGCAGAGAACTTTGATTTATGCCTACAAATGAACAATTGTTACTTTCAAGTATTGATGGGTCTTCAGGTGACTGCCTGGAGCCCCAGTATGGAAGATGAGACATCCCTTCACATTTTTGCAAGGTATGTATCCTCAGCTGAGGGATTCTGAAGGCCCCAAGAAGGCAGCTGCACTAAAGCCCTAAAGAGAAAGGCTAGAACACGGGTGTCAAACTCAATTTCATTGAAGGCCACATCAGGGTTGTGTTTGACCTCGAGGGGCCGGGGGCGTGGCCAGGGTTGGCATGGCCAGCTCAACATCACTCATGTCAGGCGCTTATGGTGTCCCAGGTGGGGCTGGGGGAATCCACTGTCTCCAGCAGAGGAAGGCGAGGCCTGGGAGAATGTCAAACCCTTGTCCTCCAGAGGAGCCTCGCTGTCCCTCTCAGGCCACCTGGAGGACCCCTGGATGGCGGCGCAGGCTGTCCACTGCCCTAGGCAGTGGAGGGCACGTGAGTTTGTTTTGCTAACACTCTGCCAATGAAAACGGAGCTCGGGAAGGCCACGTGTGCCCCTCCCAAGCTCAGTTTTTGGCTTTGACGGGCTGCTCCAGCACTCTGCCAGTGAAAATGGAGCTCAGGAGGGCTGCGCATGCCCATCCCAAGCTCCGTTTTCAGCTGCGACAGCCAATGAAAACAGCTGCCACCAGGTTGTAGATCAACATCTGGTCAGCCTGTGCTGGTCCTTTGCTGTTTCCAGGGTGGCTCCATGGGCCAGATTTAAGCACTCCGCGGGCCGGATCTGGCCCCCAGGCCTTGAGTTTGACACCCCTGGGCTAGAAGAAACCTTTGCAGAAGTGAGGCACCTCTGTCTCTGCTTTTGCTACAGGAATAACGACTCAGGCCAACCCCCTTGGCAGGTCAGCTGGCAGGCCTATTAAAGCCTCTATATGTCCACTCTAGAAAAAGGGCCCATGGCTAGTTTTGATCTTTGGCCCATCATTTTCCTCCCAGAAATGAGAAGAGAGCAAAGTGAAGGCCTCGGCTCACCACAATTTTGGAGAGCTCCAATGAGTCAGTAAGGCCCAATCAGCTCCTCACCATGGCAATAGCAGAAGCCCTTTCGCTGCAGATTTGTTGATATGCCAACAGACAGAATGTTTACATTGTTGTTTCAGGATTCATCGGAGGAATTCCTACCTTTGGATAAGACTAAGGACATGAGAGGTGTGCAGCAGGAATGGAGTCCCTGCCGGTCAAAGTAAGTAGCATCTCAGAGGGTGAAGACCCCTGCTTGTTCACAAAGGGCTGGCAGGGTAGAAAAAGATGGCCAGGCTGAGTGGCTCATCTTGGAAAGAAGAGGCTGAGCTAGCTCGATGTCTTTAAACATTTCACCTTCTTCATCTGGACAGGGCTGAGATGGCAGAAGACAAAGCTGAGGAAGAGGACAACTTTCCTACTGGGGACTCCATGCCTACCTCAGAGGTAAGAAAGGTTTGGCGATGGGGCCGGTGGAGTCTATGCACCTATGCTTTAGCCCTCTTATTGGGATGCAGAGAGTTTTGGATTTAGCTTCAATACTGTCATTTGCAGGATTCAATGAAAGTCCTGGTGGGCTCCAGGACCAGCAGCCTGGAGTATGTGGATTCCATGATTTCCAACATTTGGGACGAGGAGTCAGAGGGAAGCTGCAGTTGGCTTCAGAGGCCAGCCTCTCTTCCAATCCCTGGGTAAGAAAAACAAATTGTTTTCTTTTGGGAAGGGATGGAAGCCCTCTATTCAGTTCTCTTAAACTGAGTGAACTGGAATGCTCTGGGTGCTGGAGGAAGATGAAACCTGGCCCTTGGGATAGCATACTTAGGCTAAATATATGCAGCCAAGCTCTGTTGCGATTGGTTCATTTTACCACAAAACACCAGGGAAGGGCCCAGTGCAGTGGACTGGTAATGCTAAACGGATGTGATCCACTCTTCTTATGCCTTTTCTTTTTCTGCATCATTGTCTCCAGCACCCTGCTGCTTCTGGGCAGGGCTTTAACAGGCAAAGAGTAGAGAGCCTACTTTTCTGGGGGATGGATGGAATGGGAATGGCCATTCCTCCAACTCCAGAGATGTATCCAGCAACAGAAGCATTGTTCTGATTCAGGGGTGAAATCTACTTACCTTCCCTACCGATTTGGAAGTGCATGCCCCGCACTTCCGCGCCATCATCACTTCTGATTTTTGACCCTCTGCGTATGCTCAAAGCTTTCTGCACATGCACAGAGGAACAAATGCGGGTTACTTCAGGTTAAAAGCAGAAAGTAGCGATGTCCGGGCAGATGGGTGGAGCCTTGCGTTGCCGCCGCTACTGGTTCACCAAACCATGCATTACCAGCTCGCACGAGCCGGACAGAACCAGCAGGATTTCACCACTGTTCTGATTGGGGATTTCCATTCAATAGGGCCTCTTTTAGGAATTCTGAATCTCTTTTGCCCTGATGGCTAAAGAGGAATCATTGTCATTCACAGGATTCTCCAGAAGAAAGAGAAGCCGCCCTAGATGATCTCAGCAGCCTGGACTCCCTGGACCTCTCTGTTTAATTCAAAGAGGTATCTATTTGAACCAATTCATGTATCACTACCTTATCATGATGCATTATTCTGGTCACACATCCCCATTCTCTTTTGCCCTGATGGCTAAAGAGGAATCATTGTCATTCACAGAATTCTCCCGAAGGAGCGGAAACCACCCTAATGATCTCAGCAGCCTGGAAGAGGACTCCTGAGTCTTCACTCTTTAATTCATGGATCACCACCTTCTTGTGTCAAAGAGGCTTGCACAGCTCAATGAAGCAATGAGGTATGCTGTGTAGTGCCACTCAAGACAGACAGGTTATAGTGAAGAGTGCTGGCACAATGTGGTCTACTGAAGAAAGAAATGGCAACCCTCTCCAGTATCCTTACTAAGAAAACCCCATGAAGTGTATCAATAGGCTAAAAGCTAAGATGCCATAAGATGAGCTCCTCAGGTCAGAAGGGTCCAATATGTTGCTTGGAAAGAGTGGAGGGCAATTACAAGTATGTAATTGAGGAAAGTGGATGGGCCAAAGCCAAAGGATGTTCAGCTGTGGATGTTTCTAGTGGTGAAAGAAAACTGATACTGTAAAGAACAAAAGAGAAGGGGAAGAAATGGAAGCAGTAACAAATTTTATTTTCTTGGGCTCCAAGGTGACTGCAGAGGTGACCGCAGCCATGAAATTAAAAGACCTTTGCTCCTTGGGAGGAAAACTATGGCAAACCTAGACAGCATATGAAAAAGCAGAGACATGAGCTTGCCAATAAAGGTCGTATAGTCAAAGCTGTGGTTTTCCCTGTAGTAACGCATAGCTGTGAGA